TGTTCCGGGCTACTCAGAGAGGAACAAAGATAGGAACAGATTTCATCTCACTCTGGACCAGTCCACCCACTCCAAAAGGTATCTCCCCCACTTTGTGATAGGAATCACCAAGAAGCCTGTGTGTTCATAAATAAACAAAGTGTAACAGGAAAAACACCTTCCACTCTAACAAGCTGCAGGGTAATGCCAGGAACAATTCAAACTTGGGTAACAATCAGGTTTCTCAGAAAGAAACAGGAACCTCATGGAAACAGGACTTTTTTGTGTCTATTTTTTGTGCCTTCTTTTAACAGTCTTGAACTACTCTATATAGTTCCTGTGCATAAACAGAACTGTGCTCATCCAGCAGTGTTGCCTCCCAGATCAACCCCACTGAAGGCAGTCCCACACAACCACACAAGGGTGGACAGAGTACCCAAGTACAAAGTGCAGCTCACACCAGAGGATTTTAGTCTCATTCTGATGGGGTAAAAACTTCCCAGAGCCAATAGAGCAAGTCCATGTCTCCTCTGACACACAGCAGACAGTGGCAGGATGTTACCGTGAGCAAAATGCCACTACACCTTTACCAGGGGAACCTCGCTGCTCTCATTAGGGAGGCAGAAAAGCTGAGCAGTAATGAAAGAAAAACAGGAAAATGAAGTGTGGCATGATCCACTTCAGAAGAAAATGGGCAATTTAATAGATATTCATGGAATATCTATTAAAATAGGGATTTAGCTCATGCTCCTTTCTCAACACACATGGGAGCTGTGCCAGAGACAGGGGTGAGATGAGATCCAGTCTAATGCATGCACCACATGCAGCAAGGGGCTTCTGGTGGGAATCTAGGACTTGTGTGTCATTATTCAGAAAGTAAAACAGTTGTAATGTATAAATTGTTAATGCATGACAACTCTACAATGGGATATTCAATATATACCCAGTAATGAACGTTCCTGCTGGTTTAGGGTGCAGGATGACACAGGAGAATAAAGCAGCTTTTAATAGAACAAAACCTGCCCTTCAGAAGCAAGTTCCTGAGCACAGCCAGGGCATCTTCTGCACTCCTTGTAAACCAGTAGTACAACAAGAAAAAGCTAATCATCTCCTTGGTAGTTTTCTACAAGATGATTGGTTATAAGGTAAAGAGTCCCTAAAATTCTTTCACAAATGACATATTTTCCATGCTTCCCAGAAATCAGCCCAATTCTTCTCTCTCTACTTACCATATGTTTACAGACTGAGGTTTTTGCATGCTCAGACACTAGCCAACAAGGCAGAGGGAGAACTGTGCATATGTGAGTGAGCAGGAAGTTCTCGTGGTTCCACGATTACCGAAGGAATCACAAGAGGACTTTTATTCTGGTTCTGCTACAATTCACTGCCTGAATGCTGTCATGTCATGTCACAGACTTCAGTGGGGTTCATTCAGGTCTCCTCCCGAGAACTTGGAAAGCAGGGACAGGCAGGCACCACCATGCTCCCAGTCCCAGAAAAAGCTGGGAGTGTCCGGAACTCGTCCCAGAGCCCGTGCCAGGGCGCAGTGGAAGCTGTAACACAACCCAGGGCTTGCAGGGTATGGCCAGCGCAGCCCCCGTCTGGGAGCCATTCCAGACAGGGCAGCACGCGTCAGGTTGGAGCTATCCAGACTCCCTGGAACCAAAGGCTTAGTCCCTTGGCAGGATTAACACAGCCTGTCATCCTTGGAGATAGCTGAGAATCCTCTCTCATCAAAATGTCAACCAAGGAGCTCCCACAAAAACATCCCAGCTCAGTCTGTGATCATCAAAGTACATGATAGGGGACATACTACCTCATTTCTCAGTCTGGGGAAGGCACAAAAACCATTCCTGTGGATCACAGCCAAGACAGGAGTACCTTTACCTGACCAATGTCTGCTATTTGCAGCAAATTACCCTTGAAACATTCCATTTGTTCCAAAAAAGGAGGGTACCAGAGGGAAGCACAGATTCCACCAGAGCAGAAGGGAGTCTTACAGACAGACCAAGGAGATCTGCTGTTTAAGAATACATGTGCTTTGGATGTCTTACCCATCCCATATCCAAACAATTCCTTAACCCTGCACTTACCAGTGGACTAGACTTCAGAGTAGAAAAATATCTCATGTTTTTTGGAGGAGGCTGTGGAAGAGAAATTTAAAAGAAAACTCCTGCTCATCTCTAAGAGCTCATTCAGGTGACAATTTTCAGGCAGGTTGCTTCCAGATTCACACCACACCTTAAAAGCAAAAGCCATTTTTTTTCCTTAGGAGTCTTCCTCATTCCCTTGCCTCAACATTTTACCCAGGAGGTTGGCAGGTCCTGCCCAAACTCAGCTCACTTTAGGCCATGCTGCCAGCCCTCTCCCACCCACTGAGCAATCCCAACAACGTGGCTACAGGAGAGCACAGGGAACCAGCTCCCAACACACCAGTCCTGATGGGATCATATCCAGGATCCACTGCTGGATCCCAGAGCCAGCAGCTGACAGCCTCAGCACTGCAACCACAGCTAATGCCACAGGAGGGTGTAGGCTGCTGATTCTCCCGAGTATTTCCTTTCATTACAGGTGAAATGGGCACTTCCCATAAGAGACAGAAAACTTACAGCTGTCTGTCACTCCCTCCCCAGCCACTGGGTTGGGCCTCTCTCCTTGACTGAGCTGCTGGTTTTCCTGAAGGGTCTAAGAAGCTAATAATCATTAAGACTTTAACCTCTGCCAGATTTATTGTATTAGCCTATAAATACTGGCTTGAGATTAGCCAAGGGCTTTCAACACTTTGGTGATTAAAAATATCTAGTACACAGACAACAGGACTGCAAAAGTTTCATTTTTTAGAGAAAAGAAGCCAAAACCAAGATGCAGGTGACTGAGGAGCACCCCAGAGCAGGGCAGCTCTGGCCCACATGAGCAGAAATGAGCAGAAAGTTGAGCACACTGCTCCCCAGTGTCACCCACCACTGCCCACCACTCTTCCACTTCAGCTGACATCCAACATCTCCAGGGGATGTGCTTCAACATTTGTGTGGCATTAAAATACATAATAAAACGAGCCTCATGTCAGGGGAAATGTGTGTATATTAAGATATATTTGCTGATAACTGCTGCCCGTGAAAATGCTGGAAAACACTTCAGTATTTAACTAAAAGAGGACAGGAGACAGCAGGCATTACTGCCCAGCGAGGGATCATTAAAGCACACAAGCTTTGGCAGAGCAGAGTGATACTCAACCAACAGGGAAGATCAATATGCACCACTTTTCCTCAACTCTGCTCCAAACCTCTTCAAAAGAAACCTTTATGAGCTAAAATTTAAAAGCATATTACCCTGCCTCATCTTCTCTCTTGTCATTTCTTTTCTTAGAGCTTGTTATTCAACAGGGAAGTTGGACAGGACACAAGAAGACAATGAAACCTGTCCACAGCAGGAGGGTTGGAACTAAAGGAGCTTTAAGGTTCCCTCCCAACCCAAGTCATTCTAGGATTCTGTGATTCTCTTCAGCATCACAGGACCCACACCTTCCTTCTGAAAGCAGACAACTTTTTGAGAAAATTTCCTCTGCAGCACTAGAGTTTTATAGATAATGTAAATCCATCAATTTAAAATTGGAGGAACTTCTCCCAGGAAGAGCTCAGGAGAGAAGTTTAAGCATCCATCAAAATGGATAAAAAGCCTTGTTCTGTCTCTCTTTTAGCTCCCCAAAACAACCACCATCTGATGCCTCTATCAGCACAGAACAGTAATACCAAGCTTCAAAATGCCACTCCTGCAGATCTCTTCTTGCCAGAAAATGACAAATGATTCCTCCTCCACACTCTACACCCCTGTGTGATCTCAGCTACCTCATGCAAAGTGAAGATCACCAGCGCTCTGCACTTGATTACAACCGCAAGAGATCAGCCCAATGGCTTATCAAATTTAATCCCCAAGACACAAACCCGTGCCAGAAAATATATCCAAAACTCGTCTAAAACAAAAAGTTTTCCATCAAACTCCAAAGGCTTTGAATTGAACTGCTCTCAAAAAAAAAAAAGTAAAAATAATAAAACAAATTGAAACTTGCACCATTGTACCCCCACACACCTATAGGCAATTGCAGTGGCATTAGGTAGCTAGAAATTGTGTTAGGAGACTGATAGTCTCTTTTTTTATTCCAGTGCCTGTAAAGAGATTCACTGAATAGTTTAGATTGGAAAACACGTAAAAGTGAGGAATGTGACTTCATTATCTAGATATATGATACATTAATCAGAGTTTAATTATGAAGCCCTTCATCCCCTTACCGGGTTAGTTGTAGAATTCACAATAAAAAAAAGTCTATTCCTATTATCTGTGTGTTACTTTCCCCTTTCAGTGTTGTCAGGCATTGTTCCCGAACTGTGAAAAGGCAAAACGGAACAACACTCTGCTCATCAACTTTCACAAGTGCTGCAGACTTACTGCTTAACTAAGCAAAAGCCAAGTTCTGTTGGCTGTCTCGCTCCAAGGTGTCACCTCGGCCTTTCCTTATGACAGCGCTCCCGAATCCGCCCGCAAGATGCCTCTTCCCGAGTCCCAACTTACAGGGAATTCACCGCCCGCCTGAGGACCGCACATCTGGCCAGCGAAACAAGCCAACCATGCGGCTGCTGAGCCTTCCTCCGCCAAAGGGACCCTTCCCGTGCGGAACGCTCTGCCCCGGGGACTCGCCAAAGGGATCGCATCTCTCTGAATCGCGGGGATGAAAACGCGGCTGCTCGGGAGGAGACGGATGAGCAGCACCTGCACGGTGTGAAAGCGCAGGGGTCACGCCGCTCTCCTTCCCCGGGCGATGCCGAGTTATTTCAGCCGGCGCCGTGCCCGCTGCCCTTCGCTGCCGCCCGCCGAGCCCGCAGGGAAGCGGCGCTGGCCGGAGGGAGCCGGGGCGAGCAGCGGCAGCGGAGCGGGGACACGGCGAGCCCCGGCCGAGGCGAGCGCGGCCCCGCGCCCCGCAACCCTCCCGTCGCGGAGCGGCCACCCGCGGGTGCCTCGGTACTGACCGGCCGTGGGCACGTCGGGGACCAGCTTGAGTGGCCCGATCTGCCGCAGCTGGAACGCCGTCCGCACTTCGTGGCAGCTGGGGGACCTGCCCGCCGCCACCGCGCCGCACAGCCCCGCCGCCAGCAGCCACAGCCCCAGGACGGCGCGGCTCCCGCCGGCGGCCATCTCGCACCCCGGCCACGGCCGCGGGCGGCCCGAGCGCTGCGGGGCGCGGGCCCTCGGCCGGTCCCGGCGGCGGCAGCGCTGCCCCCGCCCGCCGCCCGCGCTCCTCCTCGGCGGGAGCGGCCGAGCCCCTCCCCGCCCCTCCCCGCGGGGCCCGAGGGGCGCCACCGCCCCCCGAGCGCGGCGGGGGCAGGGCCGGCGGCGGGAGCGGAGCCCCGGGCGGGCGGGCAGTGCCTGCACCTGGAGCTGCTCGGGGCACAGCCCCCGCTCCCGGAGCCGCTCGGGGCACGCACAGCCCCGCTCCCGGAGCCCCTCGGGGCACAGCCCCCGCTCCCGGAGCCGCTCGGGGCACAGCCCCTCGCTGTTGCCGCCCGGCCCCGCGGGCCAGCCGCGCTCAGGTTGAGCCGAGCATCGCTGCGGGCCC